AGAAGTAAAGGTTTAGCTGAGACTTTGGTTTCTAATGAAATGGTGCGCTCTATTTCCACATTATTTTGTTGATACAGAAACAAGTTGTACAGTACTGGACTTGGGAACAAAATTATTTCTGAACTCTACTTAATAAGTTCTTGTCATCAGAAACAAAGAAGTGGTTAGGATTTGAGAAATATTGACATGGCCGGAATCAAACAGAAGGGGCATTTGTGGTGGAGAAGCAGGAGGAAATGGCCACAGCTGATAAGGTTATAACAGATCTTTGGGGCGGACCTGATTGGCAACTGGCAGAGGGCATTGACGCGTTCCCGAAAAACATCATGACGGGTATTTATTAAATAATTTTACCTGCTCTTGCAATTTTTGCAAACGTTCGATTTCCTCATTTAGCCTCGCTACTTCACCAACATACTCTTTGAACTTCTCAGATTTTGACTTCGATTGTCGTGGAGGTAGACCAACCTGAAGCGACCCGATGGGATTCGAAAAACCTTCCCTACATAAAAAAACTGGTCATACACTCGCCTTCGGTAATGGGAGAGTCTTAATCTTTTTAGCAGTGGAACTCTTTGCACCGTCGTTTGAATCTTCATCCATGCTGCTCTGCGATCTGCTAGAGAGATGAGAAGAATCCTGAGAAAAACGAAGAACAACTTAGAGATGATCGTATTGGCACACTGTCACCACTTTTCACAATCCTGTCGAATGGTCGACCAACATGATTGCTAGACAGTGATACCTTCAATAGTGAACTTCACAGCAATCGTTTCTAAATGGTTTTCACCTAATGAAAGTATAATCTCAGTATTACCAAATGAGACGATGAAGAATCGCTTTTGCCAGCGGCTAGCACGGTGTTACCGTCGCGCATGTCAATGTCGCCATGTGACTCCTGGTTGGGTACTGAATAAGCTGTCTCTGCAGGTACTGCATATGGTACATGGAAAGTTGACGGAGCTGGTGCGTAACCTGAAATATTATAATTTAGTAGACCAGACAAATTAGAGTGGGTGAAAACGTTCATCGCACCGGCGAATGAATCAGTGCCGAACAAGGCAGGCTCTTCCGGTGCATACTTTGACAACGTTGCATAGTAGCCATAAGAGCTTGCAGGGAGACCGGTTCCGTCAGACGTAGTTGGCTGTTCACTTGTTGAGGAAATATAAGCTTGATATCCATAATCTTCGGCTGCGTAAGGTTTGCTTGCATCGTCGGGGCGGTTATTCACCGGAGTCGACGTGGTGCTAAATTTCTATTGGGTTTGAAGATGGCAAGGCTTTGAAGTTCAGAATCCAGAAACTTCTAGGAGCCTATCTGATTACCAACAAAAGTGAGCAAAACGATGGGACTTACGCATTGTATGCGCCAGCAGGCAATGGTTCCAACGGGATCGTCCTGCACGACGAATTATCACACATCTCTTCTTGCCTCTAACTGAAAATAATGGCAAAAGTTCTTGGGAAAAGAATGTTACATTTCGAATTCAAACGAAATGAGCTTGAAATCACTGCAATCATGACGAAAGCTTAAACCATCCAAATTCTGACTTTGTAGTGCAGGTGGTTTTCTTTTTCTCAAGAACCCACACTTTTGCTATGCTTGCGGACTCACCTGCGAACACCAACATTCAGCTGACGCCTCGCAAAGAATAATGCGTTCGTCGGCGTGCTCTTGATGCCTCATCGTAACAAATGTGCGAACATTCTCGAGGGGGTGAGATAAAACTTTGAGTTCCCTTGTCTTAACCAAACTAGAAAGGGTACTTATGAGGTATGTAATGCTCAACAAACCATCTTTTGAAAGTGAAGGAGCTTCCCCACAGAATAAAAATATGGAAACATTCCCCCTTTTCGGGCAATGCAGTGCACGGCAGCACATGCGCAATAGCCCCGCTTCAAGCTCTGCAATACGACAACAACACAAACCCTGACCTCGAGAAACCAAACGCTAACTGATCACTCCGTCATCAGTCTCTAGTGGAGCACACAGGCCATCAGCCAGGCAAGAGGCGCTACGCATACGCGAACACCCCCCCCCTCTACCTAATCAGCCCACATCTGCTTAACAGCACCACGCCCGTATTTGCTTAGGGCCCGTCTCCAGTAAAGAACATTGCCAGGGGCGTATGCAGACACTACCGGCCAGGAACAGTCCCAAAACCGCTATCCGTTCGCGGTTGATGACGCAGTCCCCATGATCTAGATTAGGCTGCTTCATAGTCTGCGCCGTCGCGGACGCCGTCCGCAGGTTCGTGTGGATCGCACGGACAGTGCGAAGAGCGTCAATGCGCAGAGTCGACGCCCTGACGCGCAAGACGTCGACTCTGCGCCATGTACGCGTTGTGCGCCAGAGCGCGTGTTGACGCTCTTCGCATTGTCCGTGCGGTCCCGCACAGAAACGTGCCGACGACGCAGACTATGAAAGCAGCCTTGGGGAGTGTCCAGAGACGCAGTTTGAGACCCATCTACGGCTGGTTACTGCTGCATATGGTCCTAGAACGAAATTAGCTAGGTCACTAAACTAAAACAGACCTCTTACTAATAAAATACAATCGACATCACTAGTACAGCCACTCCTACAGATGCACTACTACATCGGATTGCACACGGTGACCACAATACAAACACTAATGACGCTCTGAAAGGGAATTCATGAAACAAGTCAGTAACTGACGCCGCGCTCGAGTTTCACATTTTTTCGAAAGGATCCACATGGTGTTTTCTCCATTATTACTCGTTGCTCATAAGTCACACTAAGATAAGTAGTCTTTATTGTATCTATGGCACTTACATGTCAATGAAGGTCATGACTAGGAGGCACGCAAAACAACGGAAAACGTAAGTAAACGCAATGCAATAAATGCACTAATAAAACACACCGGATTTAAAACAAGCTAAAAAATTCGTACCTAAAAAATGAGCACTGTAAGCAAACTATGAAATCATCTACGGATTCTACGACATACAAGAACAAATTATGTAATTACAGTAGGCGCCGTTCTTTGTGTGAATTGCTCCATTTTGCAGAGATCCAGTGCAATGAGGACCAACGGCTTGAGGAGCTCCTGTAACCAGCTACTTTAAAATTATATTTATTGAAGACTGGTGTTCAATGAAGACATCAAAATTACTCGATCATATACGCAATAAAGTAATATCATCGTCGAACCATACAACCACACAATTAGATGACGTTTAGAAGCATTTGTATTTGTGATTTTTGGATGGAATAGCCGTATTCGTTGTGTTAACGGTCACGGGGCTGCTGTTAACCAAGGCGTAAGAGTCTAGCCAAAAAATGCTTTGTGTAGTATAAAGGCTAAGCCTTTCAAGGGTGGAAATGAAGCAGAGATGCTGTAATGGCGTGCATTTACGAGACGCCCCAAATATCACTACAAAAAGCCGAATCACAAAGAGTTGCGGTTGACAAGTTACCGGGGCGGGCTTCAAAGGGGTCGTGGTGGTGGAAGCTTAGGTCTTCTGAAACACGCGAGATCGTTTTCAGAGATTGGGAGCTCTTTATACGTCTCAGCACACGTCACATGAAGCGAAATTGTTGAAAATATGTAGAAGTCGCTGCTTCAGATCTGCACAGGTGTATTTACCCACCCCTCCCACTCCACTCCCGTTCGGCAGCAGTTTTAGAGGGGCTTTAGGGGCGGAGATGGAGTGCGTCATATGGCGCAGGGCAGGACTGTTAGGAAGGACAAACACTGTTGAAGAGACATTGAGGTCGAGGTCGTGAAAAGAGGTCGTACGTCTGTCATGTTCAGGTATGAGTTCCTTGGTCTTAAATTCCAGACCTGAACTGGAGCAATTATTACCTGAGCAGGTGCAAAGAGCCTGTTCGCATCATTCGCCGGTAGTGTATTGAAAATCAAAATAAATATACGTAAAAGACGAATAGTGGCTCCTGCCGATCCTGTTCCGGAAAGACGGAACACTAGACGTGAACCATCTTCAAACACAATACGCAACCCCTGAAATGGAGGCGCAGTATAAGAACAAACATAACGCTCAGGCAAAATTTAAAAAAAAGCTGTTCAACGGCAGTCATATAATAACTAAGATTCTAACGCTGAAATCGCACCACGTGCAGGTAAGATTATTCCTCGCAGAATTAGGAATATAAATTTGTGCGTCCACTTTGACGGCATTCTTTACAAAGGCCTAACTACCACAGCTGAGAGCACATATAATCACAAGAATGCTCAGTTGTGGCAAAACCTTCGCCCCACCTGGGATTCGTGCTCGAATCTATCGCTTTCGAAGCGATTGTGCTACCAGTTATAACACCTAAGCACCGTTTCACTCCAACTCAGCTTCGATAGTAAATTTACCATAGGTTGTCAGCATTCACACGTATAAACGTGGTGAACCGGTTAGCCAGTATCGGCAGTAAACCGCCGATACTGGCTAACCCGCCGAAAGCTTTATTAGACGTTACGCATTTCTTACATGTTTTTAATCTGATAACGTTGTTGTTGTGCGCCCGTTCGCTTGCGATTAATAGCACATCTAATGTTTTCTAAGAACAGGTACTGTTTCGTAGCAACTGATCCATCTATGGGATCAGTATATTGAAAATTATCAGCCAGTTTCACCTGAAAACAGTAACTTTTGAGTAGGAGAACAAGAGCTTCGTTTCATTTTCGAAAGAGTAGGAATTACAAGAAAAGAATTTAAATAGTGGAGCCAAGATTCACAACAGGACTGCGTAACGTTTAAAAATGAGCTCCAACATAAACTGCGCTCTTTAATTATTTAAAATTGATCGGGAGCATGTCCAAGGAACATAAAGAAAGAGCTCAAGTAGTTCTAAAGAAAACCTTATATGTGACGTTGTTGGCACTCAGTTCTCTGCCTACGAAAGCTCCCATTTGTGCTTCGAGGAATGTCATCAATAGATTGGCCCCTGAAGCATCTACGTTCTCGTAGTCGTACCTGAAGCAAGCATTATTCAAACTAAACATTCTGAACGAACGACTCTCAATTTCTGAGTTACAAAGTGATAATCACCTCGTGAAAACGTTTCGACCATAACGTTTCCATAGCTCTTTAACAATGTCTTCTACTGATAGTTTCTTTTCCGCTAGAATCTGCAACCATGCTAACATCGCCCACACGCCATCTTTTTCTCTGAAAGAAATCAATTCGTGGCAGGATGCGCAAAAATAATTGAACTGACCTTATATGATCACTACCAGTTCCGAAGGATTCTTCACCGCATAAGTATATACGTCCAGCATCCATCAAATTGCCGAAATACTTCCACCCAGTTGGTGTTTCGAAGATCTGGAGAAAGCGGCAAAATAAACATTAAGATCGGTAACGATGGAGATTGGAAGATATTTCTGAGCTAATCGAGTATAGACAAGTCGCAGCCAATTCCGAGGGCTTATCGTTATTCGCTGTTTCCACGCAACGTACCCTGGACAAACCAGAGAGCGGCAAATGTTAAAATTCCTTATAAACCAGTATGATAATGCATGTGGAATAATTCAGAATAAATAATATAAAATTGTAATAGATTGAGACTCCACCTCTAATCCTTTAGCTTTGGCTACTAGATCAACGGCACCAGCTGTAGGCATAGATCGTGCAAAGCCTTGAAAAAAAAAACATAATGCGAACAGGTGAACGTTAGTAATGAAATAAACAAGTGCAGTAATTACCGGCGACTTTCTTGGACTGGAAATAGGGAATGCAGCCTAGGCTGTCGGCAATTACAGACCAGTGCTGTCAGGCAATTTACAGCCAAGAGAATCCGCTATGGCAGTTCCACAAAAAATCCATTCTTCCCAAGATCATGTTTACGCATCCTGAAAATAACTGCCTGACAAATATTTTGATCCACACACATGGAACTTGATTAATACTTGGACAACATACCCCATCACCATCAAACGCGGCTCCAAAATCATGTTCTCCTTTTCTCATCTGATCCACCAGTCCCTTTCGCATACGTTAGATTGGGGTCAGGGTGGCCACCGCCAAAGTCCGGGTTTTGGATTAGTCCTGAAAAAAAGATTGAAATGTGGTTACACGTCTAGATAGTTTCACCACATTTCAAAATGGCGACAATTTCAATGAAACCAGGTGAACTTCCTTAACTGTGCCTCGCATTTGAAAAATTAACAATCAAAAAATCATGTGATTCGTTAGCAATGTCATTCCCAACCCTACACTACATCGTTTCTTTTTTCAATTTTAGCGCTACAGAAGGCTAATAGAATGCTCCAATAAAAGGTGTGCGATGGACAGTGGCTCGGGACGAATATAGGCCAAGCAGCCTTCGTTAAATCTTTTGCACGTTTCATGTCAAACAGTCATCATGAGGACGGTGAATTTAAAGTAGAAACTATGGCGAGTAAAGTGCAAATTAGGAGATAAACTCCAATAGGATAATTTAAAATGCAAAATCCGTGTCCAAGCCCCCTTCATAGCTTGCGGCCTTGCGCTTCTTCGCGGAGTACAAACGTATCGATTATGCGATATTCCGATCGCAGAATCGCGGTCGACACGATATCAGTATTCGAACGTCTTACACCTTGAACTGCAAAATGGTCGCAGTATAAACGACAGCCAACTTAGACTGTAATTTCAGCTTCTTCTGTTTGCACGTCATATTCGACTCGGAAAATAAAATCAAGCGGCCAGGGTAGAGGTAAATTTCAAATCGGGCGTCCTCTGGACGTCTTTTCCAGAGACTCGAAATGAGAACAGCTCTCCATTGATGAGGAAATGAATTAGCAAAAAGCGAAATCAAGAATTCCAATCGAAGTTGTAGGAGAAGGCAAAGGGAGTTAGTTCATTTCTATAGAAGTAAGCATAAGTCACGATATTCAATCTTAATACATTGACAACATTGAGACGCGGTAACGCATCTCACTTTGCGCACCTCGTTGGGCACATTGAGACGCGGTTGCGCGCCTCACCCTTGTCATCCCTTTTTCTAGCGTATGCGTGGGGATTCTTTCCAATTTGCTTGCCTCTATTCTATGGATTACAACATAACATAACTGTAAACGACATGGGTCACGGTATGATCAAATATGCTCCAGTTTAGCAGAAGTTTTTAAAGCACCGAATTGGCAGCTTGGTTCATTCCTCGTTTTCTTCTATTCTCATGAACATGTCAATGAGAAAAGGGTAGTGAAAGTAAATGCAAATCTAAAGGGATAGAAAGATATATGTTTCACTTGACACATCCACATCGAAAATAGTTTTGGCATCCACTACAGAGAAAAGGACTTAAATTCCAATTTTTCTTTACCATTTCACGTTTTTTGATCGGAATTTCGCTACTATATCTTCGATTACTTTCTACGCATTGAATATTGCTGAAATGGTTTCGTACCTTTGAAGCTTCCCAAGGTTATCGTTCGAAATTTACGGGTGTGAGGTGTGACGGCCGCGCTCGCAAAAGCGCCCTTGTCCCACGCGGTGCAAAAACCCAAAACGCGCGATGTCGTCAACGTGTTAAAGTCACTTATATTTTACCACATTCTCAGCGCGATTGCGCTTCATAGCAATTTCCAAAACAAAGAAATTTCTTACATTAACGTACCGAAGCAAACCGCGAGGTTGAACTCCAAGGTGATCGCACAAAATTGTTGATACGTATGGGCCAGTTGCTCCATGCATAGAATCAATAAGTACCTCGAATCGCTTTCCAGTGAGTTCACCAGAAATGAGCGATTTAATCTGAAAAAGTGTGACTTACTGGATAAGGACAACTTGATACAAGTTCGTTAGTTGATGCATTCACATGACCAAATTCAACGAGTCAATAAAACATGTTCCTTGGAGAACTCAATAAATTGGATCCTCTCCCAATTTTATGTGATCTGCGCGTCACACAAACCCTAGGCAATGATGCGATAGCCATGCTGACCTATACCTGCATCTATCCAATGACTGCACATTTTTACGATAGTGCACACCTTTCGTTTTTCTTTTCAAAGGCAAAGTCCAACGTCAGAACAACGGATCGATGTTTCGTCTTCTGTTTCTTGAGAGGAAGGAATAACACATTGACTAAATTGTCGTCTACAAACCAGTACGGATTTATTCGTCAGTTAGTTCTCTCTGTAGAAAACTATTAAATTTCCTTTCTTATAATGCCGCTAATGAATTAAATGTACTTGGTTTTCCCGGATGCAGGTCTTCATTGCTGATTCCGCAATACATGTGTAATCAGACAGCATCGAGAGCTCCAAAAAGCACGGGTGGTATTGAATTTTTTGGGGGAGTCGCCACGTGCTCTAGTGAATTTGCAATTACATGACGTACCCCGCCACCAAAACAGAACGGTAGTTTCGTAATGTTTTCGTATTCTCGGGTTAACAGAATGCGAATCTGCGAGGTGACTCGCATAACATTTCAAAGCAAGGCAGGCATTCTTTTTGCGTTCCAATGCTCTTCAATTAAAGCCAACTGCTCTCACAAAGAAAAAACAACGAAGTGAGCATTCAAAACTTCCGTAATGGAATGATTTAGCCGTCAAAAGCAAGATACTAGAATGTTCACCCTGAATCCTTCATTCTACTCTGAAAGCAAACTTTACAAATTGCTTTCAATGTGCAGTCCGCAACGTGAACAGTAAAACTTATCACTTATGGAATCACAATAGTTGACCTTCCACTAAGAGACCCGTGAGAATAACCTACCTTCCAAAATCGAATAACATTTTTGATTTTTAGTTTAAGTTTTTATAAATATTTATTTTTGTTAGAAAATGAATTTTTGTTTTTAAGATTATTAAAAATTTGTGTTTGATTTTCTTTGCATTAACTCCACATAATCCTTTACGGAGTCAATGACGTCTACAACGAAGTGTCCAACATTTTCCACGTCAAATTCACTTCTGCAAGGAAGATATTAGGTACTAACAACTGGCCGTAACTGGCTGAAACCTTACGTTCCAATTTGGGAGAAATCACATTGCAGATCTGGGCAGATAGAATAAGTGGATATTTGTGTTGTAATAGTATATATAGCATTGGTCACCTTAAATTGACAAATGAGATAAGAACTTCCGCACTTCTGAATTAACTGATCTAACTTTTGTATTGGACAGCCAAGTGCGCCTGCAATGCATAATTAGTCCAGGCTTCAGGCTTGGCACAAAATAACTAATAATATCAAATCATACGTAACGATATGTGATATGTATTTGTCGGCTATGCGTTTTTCTGCAGAATCATTACACAAATGGCGAAGTGTTCAAAAAAAACGTTACTTGTTATTTTTGATGCTATTGGTTCCTTTAGACATTACTTATTCGATGCCAGTGCCACGTGCGCCAATATTCTGCAGATACAGTAACTCGTGTAGCGTGCAGCTATCGAATACTACGCTCGCGGCCGATTTCTGATGCTATTGATTATTTGTGTTTGGCCTAAGTAGTGTTAATCTTGCCTGCAGGCGCATCTGGCTCTGAAGCAATCAAAGCTCTGCTCGTATCCTCACTCTGGCGAAAACATGTTAAAAAAAATATGTAGCAGGTAAATGATGTGCTCCAAAACTCACAGCGTCAGGAGCTGGTCCACCATTCTCGCAGTTGAACTTTATACCAAAATCAGCTTTAGGACCTCCGGGGTTGTGACTAGCAGTGAGAATGATGCCTGAATAACGAGTAGTTGACAGAAATTCTGACCACAGGACGACAATGTGAACATACCTCCATCAATCTTCTTCCCTTCGAATCCCTTTCGGATTAGATTAGAAACCGCAGGAGTTGACAGAAAACCGTTCTGCCCAATGATCCCTTTCGGATTAGATTAGAAACCGCAGGAGTTGACAGAAAACCGTTCTGCCCAATGATCAAATGAGCAATCTTGAATGAGGAAGGCTAACCGTTAGATTTTGATGTACCTGCTAATACTGATAATACACTTCGAAAGGTCTACCAACCCCGTTTGCAGCTGCAATTTTGATTATGACGTTTACAGCTTCTTTGCACAAGAATCTTCCATCGCCGCCAACGACAAGGGTGGCGCCCTTTCTTCTTGAAACCTAGACCTCCATCCAGAACAGCTTGTATAAAGTTCTCAGTATAGTGTTCTTGTTGAAACTCGGGAACCTGTGAAAAAATAGGAACAAATTTTGAAAGCCTGGATTTTTCACTTCAATCCTACACACCAGTTGAGGCAAAGGATAACCTCGAACAAGGCCATACAAACATAAATGCACTACAAAAAAGAAGCAGACACAAATTGCGGCTAATATGCAAACTTGCTTATGTTATTTGATCTATTATTTAGAATACACCATGATTTTCAAATATGCTCAATGCTCTCAACTTGCGCGACTGTGAAGGTAGAGCACACATGCGCAATTAAAAAAGACCGATACTCGTTTTGAGGAACTTTTTGATTACATCTGGAAGTTTTCCCTTCATGAAAACTTAAAAAGTTTTGCAGTGAGAGAAATACCTGAACTGATAAGAGACGTTCTCACTTTCTTTGTTGAGTAATTTTGAAATTCCCTAGGAGAGGAATGGTACAGAAAAAGCTCGAAAGAAAAAATAATAACATGTTTGGGGAATCCATTTTGGATCAATGTGTCATCTGATGTCAGAATTTAAAATATATTCCAAGGATTGGTACAAAACTGCGCTCCTAGTTATCCGAAAGGTAAAATAAACAAAACAATTCACTTATAAGATAGTGAACTCACCCTCTTTCTGAGTCCACTTGTTCCCGGCTTCTGCCCTTGAAATGGTTTCGTCTGTACAGTTTCCACTTTCACCATACCTGAGCAGATTAAAATAAAGCCTAAGGCTTCAAGTGAGATTTCTGACGACGAGAATGAGAATGCTGAAAATCATGTTAGTTTCCAGCACTTGTAAAGAATGTGACAAGGTCAAACATGTCTTGTAAAAAGTCCTAACCACCCCCCCCCCTTCTGCTCAACGCGACAATGAGTCCTATTTCACTTCATGTCCCAGCTCAGCGTGTCTCTACGGCATCTCCAGCTTGACGACGTAGCACTGATCCAGCTCGATGCGCTTGCCCATCTTATAGGCGTAAAGAGAATGAGACGTATCAGTAAAAATTGAAATCGCCCACAATGTATAAGTGTAAAACCGCACTGCTATTAATCCAGAGCCGAAAGATGACTTTTCCTATTCGAATATCTCAGAAAAGATCATTTACCCAGGAGGCAATTTTGTACAGTAGTTGCTAAAAATCGACATCGCGCGGCAGGCTGGCGCACCCGCAGCGAAAACAACTACGGTATGGAAGAACGCGCGATTGGAGCAGCTTTTTTGCATGCGTGAATTTGTAAGTTTCTGATTCCTTACTTGCCCGCGCTCACACCCATTGTATTGATAAATGCGGTGAATCACTAATTCTGTCTCATTATTGAAAACGTTTTGTGACTTACACGATTCCGGGCGATGCCACACAAATGGTGTTTTACGAATTATCGGTGAACGAGGGTTTAATAGTGTCGCTTGTGCTTGCATTTTGTGGGTTCATATTGTTGTATAGACATCTGCATAAGGGTATAACATCTTTTACGGAACGCTTCTGTCCTCATCACGGATATGATACTCATTTTTGACGCTGGCGCCATTTGGGGCCGGGTGGCGCCACAACTGATTCCCACTAAATTCGCTGTAAACTTCTGTATAGGGGTTATTCGGGGTCCTGATTTGTTGTTAGCGCTATTCGGCGCCTGCTTCCTGCTCGTCTGCGCCCTCGCACTAATTAGATCGCAATAGGACTAAGCCTTTGAGTAGTGTAGGGCTCCAAAGTGGGTAGGCCATTCCCCTGTGGTCTGACACACTCCAACTTTTGCCACACGGTGCGTGGTTTACCCACTCCGGAGTTTCACCCCCCCCCCTAAGCTTTCCTCCCCTAAGCTTAGTCGTAGGCGCTGTAGGTGAGAAAGCTTAGAAATGAAGAAAGTATGCGTTAAACAGCACGAATGTGAAAAATGAGTGTCATATTCATGATCAGGGCCCCAAATAACCCTATGCAGAAGTTTACAGTCGTCTCATCAAACGTCCATCAACCATTCCTCTTCCAGGTTCTCCAGAAGCTCTACCATTCCAATGGGTTTCTGCACCGAACCAATTAAAAAATAACCTACCTCCCTCTTCACTGCTAGTTAGCGGTCCACTTCTGGTTACCATTTCCTCGTTCATTATCAAATCCATGGCTATTAAGCTTCAAACTCCTTGTCGCAATCAAAGCCGACACAAATATCGCGCTCCAATCGCGCGTTCTTATATACCGTAGTTGTTTTCGCTACGGGTGCGCCAGCCTGCCGCGCGATGTCGCGTTGCGAAGAGCGAAAAAGTCGCGTTCTGTCCTAAGTACCCACA